CTTAGAACTCAGGGTCATCTACATAAGCAAAATGCTGAAAAACTCAGGACATACCATATTTTTCGCCCCATAGGATGCACCGGCCCATAGGACGCACCTAGTTTTTTGGGGGGGAAATAAAGGAAAAAAAATTATTTCCCCCCCAGGTGCGCTGCGCTAATCCCGAAGCTTGGGGCATGCGGAGCTCAGCGCGCCCCAAGCTTCTGGGTGCCGGCAAGGTCTCCGCTAGCCGTGGGAGAGCCACGCGGCTCTCTCACGGCTAGCGGAGCGCTGTGCCAATCCCGAAGCTTGGGGCGTGCGGAGCTCAGCGTGCCCCAAGCTTCTGGGTGCCAGCAAGGTCTCCTCTAGCTGTGGGAGAGCTGGGTCTCCCACTGCTAGCGGATAGCTTCCTGAAGCCTGGAGAGCGCGTGGGGTCGGTGCGCACCGACCCCCCTCGCTCTCCAGGCTTCAGCGAAAGTCTGCATTTGCCCCATAGGATGCACACACATTTCCCCTTCATTTTTGGAGGGGGAAAAGTGCGTCCTATAGGGCGAAAAATACGGTACATACAAAAGAAAATACTTCTTCACATAGGACATAGTAAAACAATGGGATCACGACCACAGCATGTGGTGGTGGACACAAACAAGATAGTTTTAAAAGAGAAGAAGAAGAAGAGTTTGGATTTGATATCCCGCTTTATCACTACCCTAGGGAGTCTCAAAGTGGCTAACATTCTCCTTTCCCTTCCTCACCCACAACAAACACTCTGTGAAGTGAGTGGGGCTGAGAGACTTCAAAGAAGTGTGACTGGCCCAAGGTCACCCAGCAGCTGCATGTGGAGGAGCGGAGACACAAACCCGGTTCCCCAGATTACGAGTCTATTGCTCTTAACCACTATACCACACTGGCTCTCATAAGAGGATCATAAAAATTCATGGATCATACGGAATAAGAAAAAACAAAACATGACACCATTACAGCTTTCAGTGTATAGCAATCTTGGGCATGAATGGGAAACAACATTTGTATACAGATGTACTGTAATAATAAAACCATTATTGCATAATCAATTTAATTTTATATATCATATTACATTTCTTCTATTTAAAACAATAATGATTTAAATTTTAAAAATAGGTATTGCTAAAATGATTGTCCCAGTATCTTAATAAAATTATATGTTTGATGTAAGAATCACAAAGCCAATAAAAGTGCTAATTAAAACAATAGCACTCTCCATTACAGAATTATCATGCAGAAAATGAGATACAAGGTAGTTAAGCTACTAAGAAATAAGAAATTGTTAATTACTACTATAGTCCAGAATCTGATTATCAAGATCATAAAACATAGAAGTGGGATGCTGTGAAAAGCTATAATTTATAGAGTAATGGAATGAATACATTAGAAGCCACCAGTCCTGAACAAAAGCTCATGTGCAGTTTGCATCAGTACAAAGTCACAGTGCCAAACAACTTTTGTCCCCGATATTAAAAATTAAGTACAATATAAAAATAAAAACCTGCAGACTACTTGAAAACAGGAAAATGTAATGAATTGTATTACGGAATACAAATTACTTTATGTACCAAAAATTGACACAAACACAATATCTATTGTTAATATTATATGTATTTAATATTCTGCTAGTATTAATAATAATTACTAATAACAATAAAACATAATTAAATGTAAAACATTTATTCTCACCAATGCAAGAAGACTCCCAGACAATACAATGGGACACAACTGAACTTGATCAACATAAATTGAGATTGAACAAAAGTTTGTAGGCAAGGGGTGGGGGGAACCTGCAGCGCTCTGCTTAATTTCATGTGGTGACATGGAGCAAAAAGTGCAGGGGTGGGGAGAGAGAGTGGGATTAATGCTGTGGGAATGCAACCCCAGAAAGGGAAGAAGGGTTCCTCACCCTTGTTGGATGCTAAAGAAAAGGTATGCTTCACAGCTGCATTGTGTAATAGATAGATGATAATCATCATAATTTCAAATCTGCTACACATTGCAACATTCCTGAACTAATAGTTTACAATGAGCCTTGTAAGGGCCCAATTTGAATTAAATGTCAGAATTCATTTGTCTATATAGTATTAACGCCACATAAATGATGCCTATAGGTGCACTGGGATTGCAAAGGTCTGGCTCTCTCTGTGGAAGTTTCACACTGACCTAGTTTTGTTGTTGCTGTTGTTGTTGTTGTTTTTTACTGGTTTGATCGAACCAGAAATTCACCTTTTAAACTTGGACTGACACATCAGTCTATAATCTTTTTTAAAAATAGAACTTTATTGAACAATCAGCATCGACCTACACAACCATACACAATAATACAATATATACAAACTATATACCGTATTTTTCGTCCCATAGGACGCTCTGTCCCATAGGACACACCTAGTTTTTTTTGGGGGGGGAATAAAGGGAAATTTTTTTCCCTTTATTTCCCCCCCCCCAAAAAAAAACCCAGGTTGGGGAAACCGAACCAGGTCGAGGAAAAGCGGGATGGTGGCGCTGCGCCTCCCTGTTGTCCCCCGAGCTTGTGGGGCTGGCCGATGTCTGTCCAGCGCGCGGGGCGCTCTGCTTCAGGGTGCCCCACGCGCCAGGCTGCTATCCGCAGCGTGGGGAGCCCTGCGGGGAACTCCTGCAGGGCTCCCCATGCTGCGGATGTCTGCCCGGCGCGAGGGGCGCTCTGCTTCAGGGCGCCCCTCACGCGGGGCGGCAGGCTGCTATCCGCAGCCTAGACAGCCCTGCGGGAACTCCCGCAGGGCTGCCTAGGCTGCGGATGTGTTCCCAAAGCGCTGGGCACTCTGCTTTCAGCGCCCGGCGCTCCGGGAAGCAAGCTGCTATCCGCAGCCTAGATAGCCCTGCGGGAACTCCCGCAGGGCTGCCTAGGCTGCGTATGTCTTCCTGAAGCCTGGAGAGCGAGAGGGGTCGGTGCACGGACCCCCCTCGCTCTCCAAGCTTCAGCGAAAGCCTGCATTCGCCCCATAGGATGCACCCAGATTTCCCCTTCATTTTTGGAGGGGGAAAAGTGCGTCCTATAGGGCAAAAAATACGGTACACATACACATACCTTACAGAAAAAGAAGAAAAAAGAAGAAAAAAAGCACAGAGTAAAAGAGAAAAGATGGAATAAATAAAATAGACTTCCGATTACTCTCATTGTACTATTTCTTATTTTGTTATTTTACCCACCGTGCCCTATTATTATTATTGCTTTCCCAATTCTTTTCAAGATGTTCTATCACCAGTATTTTACAAAAATCATTTAAGATCTGCCAGGAGATTTTTGTTATCACAATGATTTTTCAAATACTTTTAAAATATTGTCCATTCTTTATTCACCTTCTGCATCAAATATCCTCTGACCTTCCCTGTCATTTTTGCAAGTTGTATGTATTCTATCATTTTTACCTGCCAATTGGTTCATAATCTGAAACTGATTCCTACACTGAACTTCTGCTGAAAGCTAAGCAACACATTTAGATTTTAAACTGACTTTTCCTCTAGCTAGTTCTGTACTATGTGGAACTGTATTTTAGACTTTTAGGTGTATGTGTTTTTTAACTCCTCCTGTCAACATGGGGTGCAATCTAGGTTTCTGGTTGGATGGTTTATTAGTTTCTTAAGATTGCCCTGCTAGGGTAGAGCTGGAAACATGTTTCTACATATTTATCATCCCTAGGATTCAGCTTCTGAGCTGCACCTTTTAAAGGGTTTAGCCCCAAAATATGGGAAGCCCCTGTCCCACAGTACATGACAACAGGCTTAGAAGTCCCTATCCGTGTAATTATATTCTAAATTTGTAAGAGCCAACATCAAATGTTTTAAGTTCATATAACCATATACCATATTTTTCGCTCTATAAGATGTACTTTTCCCCTCCTAAAAAGTAAGGGGAGATGTGTGTGCATCTTATGGAGCGAATGCAGGCTGCGCAGCTATCACTGAAGCCAGGAGATCAGTGCGCACTGATCCCTCTTGCTCTCCTGGCTTCAGGGATAGCCGCGTGAAGCCTTTTCTTTTTTTTTCTTTTTTTAATGATATTTATTAACATTTCAAAAAATACAAGAATTACACAAGAACAAAAAGTAAAAATACAAAAAAATAAGAAATACAAAATATAGAAAAAGAGTAAAAGACACTTAAAAAGGAAAAGGAAAAAGGAAAATAGATCAATCTTTCCATAACTTACATTCATATCCTTGTTTCCCTGACCTCCTCATACCTCCCTTTTTTGTATTCCAGTTCAATTAGTTAAGTCAGCAATTTCTTTCCCTCTTTGTTGTCTCATAATTCTTTAACTTAATATACTATAACTTTAAATTTTCATCTGTTATCAGTCCTTTTTTACCTACACCTTTATAACATTACCGCTTAAACCACCTAGCATCATTCTAACATTCATTAATTTTACAATATTTCTGTAGATAGTCTTTAAATTTCTTCCAATCTTCTTCCACCAACTCTTCTCCCTGGTCTCGGATTCTGCCAGTCATTTCCGCCAATTCCATGTAGTCCATCACCTTCATCTGCCATTCTTCCAGAGTGGGTAGGTCTTGTGTCTTCCAATACTTTGCAATAAGTATTCTTGCTGCTGTTGTGGCATACATAAAGAAAGTTCTGTCCTTCTTTGGCACCATTTGGCCGACCATGCCCAGGAGAAAGGCCTCTGGTTTCTTCAGAAAGGTATATTTAAATACCCTTTTCATTTCATTATAAATCATCTCCCAGAAAGCCTTAATCCTTGGGCATGTCCACCAAAGGTGAAAGAATGTACCTTCGGTTTCTTTACATTTCCAACATTTATTTTCGGGCAAAGGGAGGAACGCTCCCCCTGCCCTGAAGAGGGTTGGCACGGCTATCCCAGAAGCCAGAACAGAAGAGGTATCACTGCTTTGCTGCGCAGCCATCCCTCTTGCTGTTCTGACTTTGCTTTGCTGGAGAGGCGCTGCGCAGCTTTCCCTCTATGCGCAGCGCCACTTCAGCGAAGCGGGAGGAGAAATAGAAGGGGCCCCGTTTCTCCTCCCGCTTCACTGAAGGGGTGCTGCACAGAGAGGGAGAGCTGCCAAGAGCTAAGCGGGAGGAGAAACGGAGCCCCTTCCATTTCTCCTCCCGCTTTGCTGGAGAGGCGCTGTGCAGAGAGGGAGAGAATTTTTTCTCTCTTGTTCTCCTCCTCTAAAACTAGGTGTGTTTTATGGTCGGGTGCGTCTTATAGAGTGAAGAATACGGTAGCTGCCCTGACAAGACTGTTTATTTGTGAGAAAATAAACAGGGAGGAATGCAGCTCATTTCAGGATAAAGTTTTTTTAATTCTCTTTCTTTTTAGCAAATTATCAGCTATTTATCTCTAACCATTTCTTTACAAATGACAAGAAGACTGCAGTTAATTGTAAAGGTTAATGTGGCATAAGGCTGTGGAACAGGTTGGACACATTTTCAGAAGTAATTCTACTATAATTAGAGCTGTCACATTTATTGAGCAAAGCTGAACAGCCAGCAGAGACAAGGTTTGCATCATCCTTCACGTTTCTTTTTCTCTCAGATATTCTGAAAAAGAAAGAAACTAGAAAAAGCAGCAGTTTAGAAAAAGGATATAACATCTTAGCAAAGCAAACGCATTGCTAAACATACATCTTACAGTTCCGATCCCTTTGCAAAACTGTTTAAAAACTACTGTGAAGTGAGCAACAAATACTGTAATCAATGAACAGAAATTCTGCCTTTGCTTGAACACTGGTTTTCTGTTTTAGGTATATAGTAGCAGAATGCTTCATTTAAAAGGTTTTTGTTTTAAAAAGAAACTGTCAATCTAGAAAACCACAACTTATATGGAATTGCACACATAAATATAATTGCTCCCTTGCTCCTTATAAAGCAACATTACAATTTCTGTACTTAGGAAATTAGGAACATATTAGGATATTAGGAAAAAAACAGTGACTACCAGCTATACAGCAAAACGTCTTTTCAACCAATAAGGAGCATGCATTCTCCACCCCCACCCCACTTCAATAAACCAAAGCCTAGAAGATGGAGAGAATTTCAGTACACTAAACATGCACAAGCTGAAGGTGATGGTGCCTGCCTGGTTCTAAAAAACTCTTAATGAAACATTGGCCCTATCCCAGATTTGATTCAGGATTGGATCCGGGTCGGGCAATGCCTGGGTAAGCTGGATCAGAGGGGTGTGTTTGTGTGTCACAGTCCTAACTACTACACAATAGCCCAGGTATGTTTCTTTTACATTGTATATATAAAAGAAGGAATTTCCACGCAATTTAAGGAACAAATATATCTGCATAAAGATACCACTTTGGATAATAAAATTAAACTACAAACTGGGAGACTGCCATTACAAGTTCCAGCATGTATATTGGTTTGTATTTTTCAGGCTGCACTGCTGACCTACTCAACATAGGTTTCAGCCAGAGGTCGACAAATTTTGTCTGAGCTTGACAGCCAACAATTATTTCTTCTAGTCATTTAGAGTATAGTAAAAATGTTCCCTTTTCAGTGAGGAAGTACAGCCTACTCTGCCACATAGAAATAAGCACTTACATAACAGATGGCATCAACCCCTATATTCATCACTGCACATCCCCAACTTTCTAGCCTTCAACCCTACCCATACTTTCCTAGCAAGAATTCTATGTTCCGGAATGTTCACACTTGCAGGATGTACATGGAATGATCTACCAATTAGAGCAAAACCCAAAATGGTGGTACAGTTGTACCTTGGTTGCAGAGCGCCTTGGAACTTGTACGTTTCAGCTCCCAAACGATCAAAAACTGGAAGGGAGTGTTCCGGTTTTCGAATGATTTTCAGAAGCCAAACATCCGGAGCTTCCTGCAGCCAATCAGAAGCCATGCTTTGGTTTCCAAACGTTTTGGAAGTCGAACGGACTTCCAGAATGGATTCTGTTCGACTTCCAAGGTACAACTGTATATAGAGTGCAGCTAGTTATCTATTGCATGCCCTGAACCCCCGCTGGGATAGCCTGAATATACCAGCACAAAGTGAGTTACTACAAAATATTGTTAAACTGTACCCTCCAAAATGGCTTTGGTGCAGGCCAAAGAAGAAGAAGAAGAAGAACAATTCATATTGTATGGGTGATTAGCATGGAGGGTGATAGATAAGTGAAATGTCCAAACCCAGTCACTAAGCCCACGATAGAAAATTTTTGTTTCAATTGCAATTTTTAAAAGAATAATTATAATCTCTGGGCAGCTCCCAACAGAATATTAAAAAGATCAAACATTAAAACATCAAATATTAAAAACTTCCGTAAATAGGGCTGTCTTCAGATGTCTTCTAAAAGTCAGATAGTTGTTTATTTCCTTGACATCTGAAAGAATATCAAAGTGTGCTGAAATTCTTTAAAATGCTCTATTTTAGAGCCAGTTGACAATGAAGCTCAGCTCTACAGTTCATGTAAGTAATTGTGCAGAGAATTGTCTACAAGTACTGTCTCCCAGAGCACTATTTCCCCAGTCCTCAAAGTATGGCTAATTAGTAAAACAAACATCATCAGAAGCCTCAATCACAGATCTCCTATATCAAATCTGAACACAAAACCCCTGGAGTGTTCAGGGTTTGGTCTTTATAAACATGTCCAGTTTTATGTCAAGCCCAGTGTTAGCAGAAAGGTAGTCAAAATCATTAAAGAAACAGCGTTGTACTATCATATCTTTTTTGTAAACTACCTTAAAACAAAGAGTCACAATGCTTTTCCACATGCATGGGTATAAGTGAAGAAATCACCACTGACAGACCTAATATAAGTGCCAGTACTTACCCCTTCTATTATTTCTGCCTTCACTTGTGGATTTGTCTGAAGGGCAAGGGCAATGTCCTTCGCATTTCACTGAGATCTGTTTTCCTAAGACACAGGCTTGATATTCTAGTTTGCACTGCAATAGAGAGAGAACGACAATCTTCAGTGTAAGCCTCATTTACATTTTTTGTAAATTCTAGTCCATTAAGTATTTTGAAAGATATTAGGGTTACCCGTTTGTCACTTTCTATTTGTGATTACAAAGGACTACAAAAGCCGCCCATCCTAAAATGTTGTAGGATCACACTCTGAATGGATCGTGTTGATAAGTGCTGTAATTCATTAAGAGCCATGATGTAGAAAAATAGGACATCTTTACAAAAGCAGGTGTGCAGAACCTGTGACCCTCTATGTTGCTGAACCTCAACTCTCATCATCCCTATTGGGCAATGTTGACTGGGGCTGATGAGATTTGGGAGTCTAGCAATATCTGGAAGACCACAGGTTCCCCATCTCGGTGCTAAAAAAATATGTGCCTTTGACTAAAGAGAACTTCTCAGCCTTGGTAACTATTTTTTTTACAAAACAAAGAATGACTGATGCCACACTTTACAGTGCGTACAAACCCTGTTTGTATTTGCTTTGGCATATTTCTTGCCACTCTCCAGCTGACTTGATTGTTTTCTACGATGACCCCATAGTATGCATTTACATAGTTCTTTCAAGCACCCAAAGTGCCACACATGTGTAATCTCAATTATTCCTACAATAACCTTGTAAGGCAAATCAGCAATAGCCTATACTGCAGATGGGGTTGGGGGCTGAGAAGGAGTAGTTTGCCTAAGGTTCATGGCAGAGCTAAGAACTAAATCTGAAATTTTAGTTCACAGCTTACTTTCTTAGCTACAAGATGCTATAACGAAGGGAAAAGTTGAGGAAGCAAGGTGGTCAGAAAGCATTCTTATCCTGTCATTCGGCATTAGTGTGTTCTAAACTGTGATGCATTTGAGAACTCTTTCATTTCCAGGCTAATGTTAACAGTTAAAAGCATATTGCATATGTTAAGTATATTGGATAATATCTAATTGTGAATGTTTGTGAGCAGAACAGATTTGTGCAACAAGGCTTCTCCTACTTCCCTTTGCAACCCCCTATATATTCCCCCAAATCTGCTTTTAATGGTTGGGAAATGATCCAGAAAATATTTTAGTGAGCATGCAGTACTGCATGGAGAGTAGAGGAATGAGAAATCTGCTTGGAAATGTTAATTTTTTAATTTTTTAAATGGTTTTTTAAAGATTATTTTTGATTTAGGGGGAAATGTATAGCAATTTTTCTTCGTCTGCTCTCTATATTGCAGTCGATTCAGGTTGTTGAATTTATCTTATGGAATATAGTGATAAAATTTATGTTACTTTCTTCCTCCTCACTCTACAAGTTTTTTTAAATAAATAATTTGCTTAAAATGTCTTCTGGTACCATAAGAGATGCATTGTAATTTGACTTTTTGATGCATTCTCTTTTCTTAAACAACATCCACTGATTGCATTGCTAATTCATCAAGTTCAATTTACTCAATTATCCAAGGTTGAAATATTTATAAAGTTATAAGTGAACTAAAATATCACATAAAGGGCATGCTCATTAGTATTTAATTGTGAGGAAAATGCAAAACAACACACATAATCAGACACACTACTTTTTGCTGCTTTGAAAAAGAAAAGGTTAGCAAATTGTTTTACTTGGGTTAAAAACTAAAATAGAGTCATGTATGTACTCCTTTACTTTTCACACTGCAATATTTCACTCTAGAGTTATTTTATTAAACACTGACATGATTAATCCACTCACAAATGGTATAGATGCAATTACAGTGAAATACCTTTCATGTCTTCTTGGAAGAAACTTAAGAGTTCAATTGCACTTTCTCCCAAGAAAATGTGCATAGGACTGCAGCCATTGAAAATGTAACATATATAGAAAAGCCCAAAATGCACACAAAAATTTGGTTTAGCCTTTTCCCAGTGGATTATACAGCCACTAAAACAAATATGCTATGGGTAGACTCAAAACCTAGAACTCTCCAAAGTACAAAGTTTCAGTGGCCATTTGAAGAATTCCCATTAAAACCAGTGGAGACATATGTAGGCTTCAGAATGGGTAATTCATTCTCTTACACACACACACACACACACACACACACACAAACACACAAATACATATTTAGGTTTGATAAGTCCTAACTTTGGGGTATGACAAAAGCATGATAGATGACTGACTGGGTATGTATTACCTAACAAAATAGGCTGATGATGTGGGAATCTAAAGCT